CAATGCAGCGGTGAAGAGTTTTGGGGATATAACGTCACCCTGTCTTACACCTCTCTGCAATTGGATAGGTTTGGTACTCTGGTTCTGTACTCGGATAGCCATCGTAGCCCTACTGTACAAGCACTTCAGCACTTCGATATACCGACAGTCAACTTGGCATCGCTGAAGGGACTGCAGCACCGCCCAAATTTCGACGCAATCAAATGCTTTCTCATAGTCCACATACGCAAGACGTAGTGGCAAAATATACTCCTCGGTCTTCTGTACAATTTGCATAGGTATGCATGTGGTCTATGGGTCTAAAGCCTTTTCGGAAACCGGCTTGTTCGGGAGGCTGGAAGTCATCGAGTCTGCGTGCGAGACGAGTCGTAATAACTCTTGAAAGTAACACGTAGACGCGGCTCTGAAGGGAAATCAGTCTGTAGTTCTTCAAGAGAGCAGTGTCGCCTTTCTGGAACAACAAGACCACCGCACTTCTGCACATGTTCCGTGTGCCTCTAACTATTCGGGGATAGCGATCCCGAAAAAACTGGTAGCGACCAGTTTTCACCCTCATGATCACTGAGACATTTTTGAACAGTTTTTAGACCCTTTTTTAATAGAAAAGAGGCATTCCAAATTAGCCCTTAAGGCTGACAACGCATCTGCATTTTGATTCGCAAACGAGGATAGATGTAGATGTCTATGGGCCTCAGCAACCACTTTCCATCAGGTGGACTGTGTGGTTGTTTGTCACCCTATTTCTATAAAAAAAGTTGTCGTCTAGTCGTCATAATGAAATCAATCTCATTTTTTGTCGAACCGTCGGGGCTCGACCAGGTCCACTTCCTTTGGGGCCGCTTCTGGAAGAAAGAGTTCATCATAAAGAGTCCTTCTCTCTCCATGGAGTCAGCTAGCTGCTGGCCTCTTGGTTACCGTTGCCGTATTCCAAATTGCCTTCAGCTCACCGATCTCTCTTGTGCCTAGTTTTGCATTGAAGTCTCCAATTAACACCGTATATTAAGTTTTGGAGGAATACATGACTTTGGTGATATCCTCATACATGTCCTCCACCTCCTCATCGGGATGTACCGAGTTTGGTGCGTAAACTTGTATGACTTTCAGCGAATACCATTTGGTGATTCTGAGTATAGGGTACGCAATCCTCGTCGATACACTGACAATCTTTACTACGTTGTTAACGAGAGACTTGTGGACGATAAATCCGACACCTCCTTCGGACAGATGTTCGCCCTCCCGGTAATAGCTAGCAGCTCCAGGATCTTCTCGTCAGTCCTCAGGGTGCGTGCGTTGTATGTTGTCAGGTCAAGTCGTCTTAGGTGGCAACCGAACCTCCACTGGAAATTCTTAACACCCCCCTGCCCCGCCACTACCATGGTCAAGGAATAGCGGGGCCGGTGGATTATACGTGGTAGAGCCATGCTGCAGCTATATTAGTAGTATAGTTGTAGCACGAATGGGTCGGCTCGACCGGGGAAGGACCACGCTCTCACAGAATACCAGCGTAAAATAGCAGCTTAATGCTGCTGCGTTTCGTATGGTGAGTGTAGAGAACCGGAGACCCATTTTACTGGAAAAGAGGCATTCCATCTTAGTCCTCACGGGTGACAACGCATCTGCATTTTGATTCGCAAACGAAGATAGATGTAGATGTCTATGGGCCGCAGCAACCACTTACCATCAGGTGGACTGTGTGCTCGTTTGTCACCCTTATTCTATAAAAAAAGATGAATGTGCTGAGGTACGAAAAGAAAGATTGTCAGATTGGTTTTCACCATTTGAAAGACCTTAGTCTAACTAGAGGTACGAAGGGAAAGATTACCAAAGAGGTTTTCACCATTTTAAAGACCTTAGTCTAACTAGAGGTACGAAGAGAAAGATTATCAGAGTGGTTTTCACCATTTTAAAGATCTTAGTCTAACTAGAGGTACGAAGAGAAAGATTATCAGAGTGGTTTTCACCATTTTAAAGATCTTAGTCTAACTAGAGGTACGAAAAGAAAGATTGTCAGATTGGTTTTCACCATTTGAAAGACCTTAGTCTAACTAGAGGTACGAAGGGAAAGATTATCAAAGAGGTTTTCACCATTTTAAAGACCTTAGTCTAACTAGAGGTACGAAGAGAAAGATTATCAGAGTGGTTTTTACCATTTGCAAGACCTTAGTCTAACTAGTGGTACGAAGAGAAAGATTATCAGAGTGGTTTTCACCATTTGCAAGACCTTAGTCTAACTAGAGGTACGAAGAGAAAGATTATCAGAGTGGTTTTCACCATTTGCAAGACCTTAGTCTAACTAGTGGTACGAAGAGAAAGATTATCAGAGTGGTTTTCACCATTTGCAAGACCTTAGTCTAACTAGAGGTACGAAGAGAAAGATTATCAGAGTGGTTTTCACCATTTGCAAGATCTTAGTCTAACTAGAGGTACGAAGAGAAAGATTATCAGAGTGGTTTTCACTATTTGAAAGACAGTTTATTTTAAAGTCAGTGATTATGAAAGCGGGAAACATCGCGGGGCTAAAAGTAAGTATAAGTAAGTATAAGTCCTCGTTCCTGGCAATGCCATGCCAATATTTTCTTTTCAGAATTGTCTTATATATTTCACAGAAAGTATCTGCTTTATAATATGCCAGTCCCTTTTGAATTTGTTTTATTCGAATCCGTCTGTGATTCTATGCTTTTTACTTTTCTTTATATTTACCGTCTCGTCACGCATATCCATATACACATTACACTATGCAAGTAACTCATTCTAATTTGAAAAACAAATGCTTTTGAAATATCCCCTTATATGTTGGAAGTTGATTGGTCATTGATCCAATATAAACGAACCATTGTATCGGAACAGTACTAAGCAACCATAATGTACAGTAATGTTAAGTTCATTAACCCAATATGTAAATACATTTTTACGCCTTACAGGGTTATTTCAAAATTTGTCTTTTATTCCATTCATTGACACATTTGTCTTACTCTTTTAACTGTACATTATGGTAATGTAAGGTCACTAAAATCTACAACTAACACAATAAATGACTTATTCTATTCTATTGTCTTTACTTACATTTTAATTTTTAACTGTCTGTGTCAAAGTTGTTTTTTATATAGGATAAGGGTGTCCACCTGATGGTAAGTGGTTGTTGTGGGCTAGTTGTGTAAGTATACGTATATAAGTTATAATATAAACACTCACGCCTGTCACCCAGAGGGGTAGGCAGAGACTACGGATTTCCATTTGGCACGATCCTGACACACCTCTCTCACCTCCTTTACATCCATATATCTACGCATACACGCTCGCCAGTTAAGGGTACTTCTAATCTGGCCCACTTTTAATATCCATCCCTTCCTGATTCTGCCGTTCACTTCTGCAAAATAAATTTGCTTTGTCACTTTTTCTTCGTTCATTCTTTCTACGTACCAAAAATAAGTTATATACGCGGTAAAACCGTACTGCAGCTATATCATGAATGTAGCACGTATGGGTCGGCTCGACCCGGGAACGACCACGCTCTCACAAAATACCAGCGAAAAATAGCAGCCCAATACTGCTGGTTTCGTATGGTGAGTGTAGAAAACTGAAACAATTTTTACTAGGAACGAGGCATTCCAGCTTAGTTCTTTAGAATGAAAACGTATCTGCTTTTAATCCTTAATCAAGTATAGATGTAGATATTTCGTTTGTCACCATTCTATAAAAAATACTAAGTATATATGAAAAATACATTAGATGCTTAGTATATTTACGGAAAATTTATAAAATAATTTTAACTACCTAAGCACTTATATGACAAAGTTATTAAAATTAAAATATTTTCTTATTGCATGTGACGAGTACATAACAAAGGAAACTTGAACGTTTTAAAGAGGTCAAATAAGTTCATTCGGCGCGAATAATCTATTGAGTGAAATGTGTAATAAACATTAGGGTCAGTTCACACCGAGACGTGACGCGGCGCGACGCGGCGCGCACTTTTCTAAGATAGTGATACAAAATGTAACTGTATTTACTACACAAAAAGGTGCACATTTTATTGAGATAATTAGAAAATGTCCCGCGGCGTCGCGCTGTGCCTCAAGATGCCTCGCGGAGTAGCGCGACGCATCGCGATTCGCGACGCAGCGGCACTTCGGCGGTAGGTGGTGCAGCGTGCAAGAACTGTACGCTGCCAGCGTAAATGCCGCCCAAATGAACGATAAATATTTTTCACAAAAGGAACAAAAACTCTCACATTGAATTAAAATAATTATATATTAATTAAAAGTTACAATTAATACTCCTAGGAACTAAGCTAGCCAAACAATTCAAACCAACATCCTGTCCCATACAAGTCCTTAGAATTACTGCTTACATACGTTCGGGGCCTCTGTAGCCTGGGGCCCCCTTATCATTGATACGGCTGATACGGCGGTAGCTATGTCCCTGTTCGGAATATCGACAGCAAAGATGTGAAGACCCGCCGCATTGTCAAATAGTGGAAAGAGAAAGACAGAACTAGTGCATGTAAATCATTTTTTTTTGTGCACTCTCTTCGAAATGCACCCTTTAGAACACGGAGAGGCTGGGTACTCTGCGCCTGTGCTCGAAGCTGACAAGTTTGGTTTTAACCAACTCAAGGTTACTAATAAGCCTCATAGCACGTTTCTTTTTGAGTTCAACGCTGCTATGTGGCATAATGCAGCATCAGCCGAAGATAATCGTCATTATCAATATTTTACGATAACAAGTCTTCCTAAAGCATTACTTCTTTTCCAATATTTTTCTACCGTTTCATCAATATACATAAGCTATTGCAATGTTGATGTTCTAATTAACATTTTAATTACTATTTATATTTAAACCGTGCAATGGCGTTGCAAGTGTGAAACAGAATATTTATATAATTTAACGGGAAATTCATTGACCAGTCTTGAGATTATAATTGTTGATATATTTCTATTTAGTTTCCTATGCACTAGGTGATGTGTATGATTCGGAAAAAAGTAACACTAAAAACTCACCATAGCGTTCAATGTCAGCAGCTGTTACAAACGTCTTCTTCTTCAGTTCACTGATAGACGATTCAAATATGTTCTTCTCGATTTTGGAGGGAATGTCATCACCGGACTGGTACATTGTTACAAACAAACTATGTCCTCGATCAACACTACAACCGTATCAGCGACTACGCTTTACCAACTGCAACTAGCAGTATAAAATACCCCCTACATGTGATACAGGTTATTTGCATTCCCGTATACCGATGAGGCACCTCCGACCTCACTGAATTATTGATTGGCCTGAAATGAAAAGAAGTTTGACGCATTTAGATTTTTTGAAACGTCGCCTATTGATGCGTCGATGGCTGGACCGATTAAAGACCTAATGTTATTCAAATTAGGCTCCCCAACGAGATCACCTTTGTTTGTTGAACGTTTATTTATAATTTTTCCCGACATTTTCATATTTGGAATTAAAAAGTTTTTTTTAAAGGTATGATGTCTTTCTAAATTATCATATGATTATGGTAGAACTTTATCTTCATCAGCCTGGAACAGTCTATTGTTAACGTCTTCAAAGTAAATACACAAAAACTGTTGAAAAGGATTATTATAATGGCACTTCCGGTTGCCTAGAATCTTTAAATTTGGTACAAAGCTCACTTGGAGCAAAGAATCTGTCAGGTCTCAACAGTACAAGTATAGGAAAAAATTCGGTAACCGTTAATTCGGAGTCCATATCTGGAAGATAATAAACCATAGGAAGGAATTTTGCAAATTATTAGTACAATATTATATATATTATTCGGCGATTACTAATAAAAAACTAGATACACAATCCCATGCAAAAGTTCTCTAAAAACTGTCGCCAATTGTTTTGATGTAATTCTAGTTGAAAAAAAAATACATTAATGTATATTCAACCTTAAATGCATTTCCTTGCATGCACCCAAATGTTTGAGTGGGCGCTCATTCGGTAAGGACATTTTTTGTCACTGATTGTGTAGTTTTTTTATTAGTGATCGATGATATTATAATACGAGCAATATATTTTTAAATTTGCATGTTATCGCATTCTCAAAAACTCTCTCCAACTACTGTAACTAATTCTTCTAAAGTGTAAACTAACAGCATAGGGGTTTACGGAAGCGAAACAGGGATCTAGCTAGATCTCATTCCTGGCAAAATTTATTTTATCCGTGTTTTCACACACGAAACAACACGATTGAATTGTCTGTGCAATATGATTGGTAATTTCGCCGAAAAATCTTCTTCACAATAGCCTAAGGACTCGATCGCAAGCTAAGAGTATAATAGAAACATATAACATAACATAAACACTCACGCCTGTCACCCAGAGGGGTAGGCAGAGACTACGGACTTCCATTTGGCGCGATCCTGACACACCTCTCTCGCCTCTTTTACATCCATATATCTATCTAAGCATACACGCTCGTCGGTTAAGGGTACTCCTAATCTGGCCCATTTTTAATGTATCGCCGATTTGGTCGATAAACCTTCGTCTAGGGCGTCCCTTCCCGACCCTGCCGTTCACTTCCGCAACATAAATTTGCTTCTGCTTCCGCAACATAAATTGGGGGATGAGTCGCTCGCGTCCGTAGGCTTCGACCACCTAATCCTAGGCCCACCCTACACGTGTCCCCCGGGTAGTGCTAAACGAGCGACAAAGCCGAAACGACAGACTCGGCTCCTCGCCGTATGGTAGCGGCATAAAATCTACCACCCCTTAGTATAATAGAAAAGCAAGCTAATATACTCTAAGAATGTAGGTGCCAGAGTGCGCGAGTTCTAATTATAAAATTCGATTCTGGAGTTTGATATATTTTAATTTTTGTTCATTATTATTTTGAAGTTATACTTCTTTTGTCGCGTTTGGGAAAAATTATGAGAGTGAATTTTTTACGATGCGGGCATACACCGACCCCTAAAAACGACACCATGAATTTGTTACGATGCGCGCACACACTGACACCTAAAAGCGACAACTTCAGTGGGTAATTGTCTCTCAAGTTTTCGTGAGAACTGATAACTATATTTAAAGTAGTTATTCAAATATACATGAATCTACAACACATGCCTGCAATATGTAAGCCATATTGCAGGCTTATGAAAAAACTAATATCTGACAGTTGTGTTGACATTCAATAAAAGGTATAATTTTCATTTGTGTTGTGCCATTTGCTGTAGAGACTATCGGTCCGTGGGGTCCACGTGCGGTGAAGTTCCTAAAGGAACTCCATCCACGGCTGATAGTTGCTGCTGGTGATAAGAGGGCTGATTCTTTTCTCGCTCAAAGGCTAAGTATAGCCATTGAGCGGGGAAACGCAGCCAGCGTTCTTGGCACGATACCGCGGGGAGTAGGACTGTATGATAATTAAGTTACTAGTTTTAGTTTTTTTTATTATAGTTTTTAATATTGTATATAATAAAATATTGTATAACATGTTATGTAAATAAATTTTAAACAATAGATTTGTGTTTTAGTGGTGAAATCCTCAAAAATACACTATATTTGGACGAGGACCTTATTCACGCACTATTGAGTACAATAAAGTTAAATATTTACAAATAAATAATGTTAAATAAAGGAAATGTGTTGTTCGGCAACAACCTCACATTTGATCACCACATGCAAGAGTGGGATATTTTTAAGAGTCGATTTGTCCAGTTCTATATGACAAATGATTATCATGACGACACTGGAAAAGCGGGAGTTATGAGAGCGCTTTTTTGGCCACACCATTAGCAGAAGATACATATGTGATTTAGTTTTCCGTTAAAATTAGAAGACTTAACTTATAAGACTCTTATTGAAAAGATTGACAACCAGAGTCCCTCAATGAAATGTATGTTTGCGGAAAAATATGTTTTTTATAATGCGAAACAAAGACCAGGCGAAGACTTAACTGAATGGGCGGCCCGGGTTTGTCATCTCGAACAGTTTTGTGGTTTTAAAATAGAACTCGAGACGGCATTAAGAATCAAGTTTGTGCTAGGATTATCGAATGCCGAGGAAAAACAAAAGTTATTTAGTGAAAACATCGATAGCTTGGCGATGTGCTCGAGTTGCAGTTAATAGGTCATTGCAAGATGAGGGACTAGACATATCATCAGCGGCAGCGCAACCCGTTTTCGCTTTACGAGCCCAAGAAAATTCTGTTCGTCAAACTACAAAAAAAACATATATTGCTTGATTTGTGGATATAAGAACCATACTAAAGATAAATGTCCATTATTCAATGTGCATTAACCCTAGTTAAAACGCAGGTAATAGTGATAGGTAGCAACAAACTACTACAAAAATTACTTGGGCTACTGCCTATCATTTGTTTTAAGAATTCCGCTATTTCTTACAGTAAGGTTGTAAAAAATCTAGGGGTTCTAATTGACAGTACAATGTCTTGGGCGTCTCAAATTGAACAGATAAGTAAGAAAATGTTTGCGGCTTGTGGAAGTCTTAAAATACTTCGAAATTTCCTGCCCATTTTGTTGCCTATTTTAGACTATGCTGATATACGCTACAGTGATATTACCATGGAGCAATTAAACAAGCTTGAGCGTTTTCAGAATCTATCCATTCGGTTCATATTTAATTTACCCATATTTGACAATGTATCTCATTTTCGAAATCAACTCAAGTGGCCTCCAATTCACCTTCGCCGAAATGTTTATATACTTTCTTTAGGTTTTTGTGTAATGTTTGATTCAAAATCTCCAAGGTACCATAAAGAACAATTTCACAGTCGAAATTAATTTCATGGTCGTAATTTGTGTACAGTGTATAGCTTGGCTTTGAATACTCCTTGCAGCGTAACGTTATTTTTATAATAAATCATTTATTTCACAAGAAATCCGACTCTGGAATTCATTACCACATAACATCCAGCAAGCGCAGTGTTTACAGACTTTTGAAAAACAACTGAAAGTGTAATATTTGAATTTCCCGTCATTATAATAAATCATATGTTTGAATGTATATGCATACATACATATGTAGTGCCCCGTGTAGTGGCGGGTAAGAAGAATACCCACTACCCCATATCTTTTCGTGGGTGTCGTTAGAGGCGACGGAGGTAAACTGATGCAGAAGATGGGCAGCAGCATCTTTCTGATGACAGCAAAACAACAATAAAAAAGCTGCGGTTGTCAACCCGCTCGCCAAGTGTGGCTCGGCAAGTAGCAAAATTGGCAATATACCCCCCATAATGAAAGTTATGAAGAGACGGCCCCCAGTCCCCGGCGGCCCCGTCATTCCTGGCTACGGTGGCGACCATGGTAACGGCGGAGCAGGGGGTGCTAAGAATCTCCGGTGGAGGTTCGGTTGCCACCTACGACGACTCGAAATGGCACCTTATAACGCACGCACCCTGAGGACTGACGAGAAGATCTTGGAGCTAGAAGAAGAGATAGACAAATTGCGCTGGAATATTATAAGATTACCCGAGGTTCGAAGAGAGGGGGACGACATGGTAATCCTCGAATACGGCAACTTGTTCTATCAGCGGGAGGGCGACCATCTGTCTCAAGTAAGTGTCGGATTTATCGTCCACAAGACTCTCGTTAACAACGTTGTAAAGATTGAGAGTGTGTCGACGAGGGTTGCGTACCTTATACTAAGAATCACCAAACGGTATTCGCTAAAGGTCAGTTACGCACCAACCTCGACAAAAAATAAGATTGACTTTTGACCAGACGACAACTGTTCAGTGATGTCTCTGTGATCGCGAGGGTGAAAACTGGTAGCGATCACCGAATGGTTAGAGTCACACTGAACCTAAACGTTAAGTTGGAGAGGTCTTGTCTAACGAATTCAGCGCTCCATATACCCTCGTGCTCTAATCCAAAGTCTCGAAACCTTTCAGCCTGAGTTACAAAACCGTTTTCAGTGCCTAGAAGATTGCAGTAGACGATATGAATGACAAGCTCGTGGAAACTGTCCATGTGGTCGGAGCTAAGGTCTGCAAGACCCGTCGCAGAAGAAAAAAATATCTCCGATCACAGTTTTAATATCATGGCTGTTAGACGGGAATAGAAGCTGAAGTCTTCAGCAGATTTGACAGCGTACAGGCGACTGAACAGACAAATCTCCAAAATATAAAAACTTTCTGTGGCGGA